GCCAAACTAGTAAATAAACAACAACAGAAAAATCTGGTTAAATCCTGGTATGATCAGTCTGCAATTCACCAGGGGAAAAGTTCCAATAATCCACTCAAAATATTTCTTTCATTTGTTATTTCCTTCTTCTAGAAAAAGCAAGTGAGCCAAACAAAGATCCGGGTGATCTCTACCATCCTCTTCATCCTGGCAGGCTGCATCGTCTTTGTGACCATTCCTGCAGTTATCTTCAAACACATCGAGGGCTGGACAGCCTTGGAGTCCATCTACTTTGTGGTTGTCACTCTGACTACTGTTGGCTTTGGTGATTTTGTAGCAGGTGAGCAGCTTTGAGGTGCGGGGTATGAGGGCCTTGGCTCTTAGTAGTTCTTCTCCGGTGCAGAGAAGAGAGATATTTTCAGAATATGTTCCAGTAAAACAATGCCAGGTGTTTCTGTTGGGGCTACCGTACAACAGCACACAGGACTCCAGGCTAATTTAAGACCCTGGGGCTTGCCATCTGCAGAATGCAACCTTTCAGCAGTGTAAAGAATGGGAGTTTTGAAAGTCCTCTTTATCCTTTATCCTGTAATGAATTATGCGCAAGCCAAGCGACTTTCCTATTGAACTCAGGACTTGTATTAGTCCATTAGGTCTCGCTCTGATACTTATTGCTGAAGTAAGATAGCCAAAATGATGAATAGATTAAGTTTTCCCAAAGTACACCTGAGTTGTAGGACTGGGAAACTGTCTGGTGTGATGCAGTAGTTGGCTGTTAAAACATCCTTTTCCTGAGCCACGACATTTCAGAGGCTGGATTTTCCTGTATGATCTTGGCAGAAATTTTGACCTTGCACCTGCCCTGTTAAGGAAAACTCATGCAGGAGGGGAAGAACTAATGGTGTGTGCATTTGAGGTCTAGGACAATACTCTCTAAGATTAATACATTAATAACACGTGCTATAAATAGCTGTCCTAATCAATCACTGAAGAGGGCATCAGAATTGCTGGCTAGAGAAAAGGGAAGATTTTTTTCCCTGTACAGCTTTGCTAAGGAAAAGATGGTTAAAATAAGCAGAATTTCTTTTCCCATTAGTGCATGACCTCTCTTCCCCATTCCTATTAGCAGTTATAATAAGCGTATTAAGCTGCCCAAGTTACAACTAGACTGTGGCTACATTATGTCACCTTTTTATCCTGAAATGTCAGTGGAACTGTGCTGATTTCTTACGAGTAGAATGTGGCCCATAGCTTGCCGTAGTGGGAGTGCTTTTGCGCTAGCATTGGAAATATGAGTGACTTTAAAAAAATCAGATGAAACAGCAAGATACGGTTTTTGGTTTTCCTCAATGAATAGCTGTGGACAAGCCTTTTTGCAGACTAGACTCTCTCATCCTCCTTTTTTTTTATACTGTGATAAAGATTATGTGAATTATTGAGTAAAAAATGGCACTGAACAAAAAGAGCTCCAGGTATCAAAGAAGTCATTTTATGAGTGTTCAAATACAGAACTAAATGTATGACTTTGGTCCATTTCAACCACTTAAAAGTGAAGAGAAGCTCATTGGTATTCTGGCTTTATGTTATTGTAGCATAGAGTGAAATAAAAATAATTCACAGTATTTTTCTTAAGCATATGGCACTTTGATATTATTTTCTTTAATAATATAATTCTACAAAATGAATTAAAGTGTTCTAAATCCAACATGATCAGGAGAATGAAATCCACAGCTGGGTGGCTACTAGTAATCAAAATTTTTCAAAAATCTAACGGAGGACCTTAAATGAAAAAAAAAGTTCAAAGGTTCTTACAATATGAGTTTCGGGCCAGGTGATCACCAGCAGATGTACATTTTATGGCTGGTTTTGACACACTTTTTATACTACTTTTATTTTTTGTCACTTTAATCTCTCCTTATCTGTATCCTTTAAACATCAAAGAGATAATACCATACCATGTTGGGTAAAGCAGCATCAGTGGAGTTATGTCAATTTATTACAATCTTGCCATAGTGGGAGTGCTTTTGCACTAGAGCTGAAAATATAGTTGTGGATGGAGACTGGGAAAAAATAACTAGAATATTTGATGGACTGAGAAAAAATGTAGGCTCTCTATAGGCTGATTGCTCCATAAGACAGACAATCTGCTTTATAGCAAACTTCTGCAGGGACATGTGTGATCACAACAGCCTCATTGTACCATAGCAACAGCAGCCCCCACCTCCTATTGTTTCACACTCTTGGAAGACTGGAAAAAAAGAATGATTCATAGAGTATATGGGGAGAGATTAACATCAAAATCAATATTTGGGTCCCTGCCAATGCTGAAAGTCTGAGCTCTCATGAAGTTCAGGCATTGAACATTCACTGTAAGCACACTTGTACTCAATCTGCATAAAATTCGTTTTAAAGAGTCATAAGAATGTCTCAGATTGCAAAAAAAGCTCAGGGGAAAAATCTCAACTGTGTCGCCTGGGGATTTTAATGGAAAAACAAAAACAAAAAAACTTTCAGGACATAATGAGGTGTAGGTTAGTATATAGCTCTTCTTTATCCCATACTGGAGGAAATATTCATTTCTCTGCTTAAGAACAGGCCAGATAGCCCTATTCTTCAAGCAGACATTTACCCAGGTCCCAGCAAAAGTGGTTTTTGAGTTGAGGAATGTGGCTGTGCATATGGAGCAGTGCAGCTTCTTTGCCTCCTACTTATCTTACATACTCTGATAGGACCTTGAGTCTCGAAAGTGAGGTTGTGTCTACTTTCTTTTGAAAAAATTCTACTCTCTCCTGCGGTACAGTGCAGCCTGGATGTTATTACACTTATTTTAGGCCCTTCATAGGCCTAAATATGCGGAGTTGCCAAATGTTCTACATACTTGTGTTACCAGCTCCTCCCAAGACTCGCATAAAAAGCATATATGATATTTGTAGCTTTGTTTGATCTGTATCTACTCTCAAGACACTGGTCAGGGAATACATCCCTATAACTAAACAGGCGGAATATTTTTATTATCAAAGTTGATGTAGGAGTGAGTTCCTGTCGGATAGCCTGATTTCGGGGGAAAGCAAAGTTACGTTTCTCTCTCCCCACCAGAGATCTCTAAATCCTGAGCTTAAAAATCTGGAGCAAAAAATCTGGAAAAGCCTACAGGTAGTTCAGAATAAGGATGACTATTTGTATTATACATTTTTCTTGGAAATGAGTTCAAGCTCTTACAAATAGCACCAAGGCAGATATTTCTGCAATGTAAAGAAAAGAAGTTTACTGGCAAGTCAGAAAGCAGGAGAGCAATAGTTTCAAAAAAAGGAATTTTTGTAAGTCCTAACTTAAAAACAGACAACATTCCTGCCATCTGCCAGGCCTCCAATTTTTAGCAGAACTACAGTGGTGTTGGCAAGAAAAAAGAAATACTTTAATGAATTTCTCAGAATTGCTAGTATTTTGGCATAATTTTGGCACCTTATGACTCCTAATCATAAGTATATACTTATTTCAGGAGGAAATGCTGACATCCACTATCGGGAATGGTATAAACCCTTAGTGTGGTTCTGGATCCTTGTTGGCCTTGCCTATTTTGCTGCTGTCCTGAGCATGATTGGAGATTGGTTAAGAGTCCTGTCCAAGAAGACAAAAGAAGAGGTATGACGAGTAATTTCTCAGTGGTTTGTCATTTTCTAAGAAAGCTCTAATTTCCTGATTTCTGATTGTCTAATTAAGGCTGCTCTTCTGTTTGACAAATGCTAAATATTCCCTGTAGCTCACTCCACTGATTACCTGAGTTCTAATCTTTATCTTCTTCACAAAAAGAGGAGAAAAAGCAGCTGAGACAAACCTTTGTTGTTACACCTCTGTCAATACAGCTGCATAACACAGAACATATTGGTAGGATTGCAATTATGGAATACGAGAAACCAGCCTTTACTGAAATTAACTACAAAATTGTGATAAATATTGTAGCTCTTCACTCTAGATATTGGAGTTGCATGGAATTTTAAGATCAGAAAAAAACACTACTTTTACTCAGTGTTACCTTCTATCTCTTGCAGCAGCTCTTGCTAAGGCCTTTGCAGAGCCTACAAATTCTGTTTATGCTGTAGCATGTCCATTGCTCTTGGACATCAGTTGTTTCTGTCCATTATCTGCCTTTAAATCATGCTTTGATATTGAGTTTTCCCTATGTCAGGATATTTGTCTCTGAATAAGGGTTTGAAGTCAGCCACTTTTTTGATAAATGTTATTAAAAATGGAAGAAACTGAGCAGATAGCATCAGGGAAAGCATGTGTAAATTCAGTCAGAACATGCCCTCCATGAATTGAGAACAGTATTCCTAATTTCCTTCACTCAAAATCAGAGTGGAAAATGAAAGGCAGTTGCCATCGGCCATGAGCTCAAGGCTCTGAAGTGGTTAACATAATTTCAAATTTTAATGCAACCTCCTCCTGAATTCCAAGTAAAGCTAATTTGGCAGGGTTAGCCAAGAGCAGACATAGCCAAAGTCTGGCAGAGGGCAAAGCTATTTATTATTTATGAAGTTATCTGACTCACCTGATGCCCAAGGTATACACTGTAAAGGGATCTTCACAGAGAGCTGCTGATGAGCAGCAGGGCAGCCACACTGCCTGGCTGTGGTGCCCACTAGTATGAACTTGGAGCTCCCATGGTGGGCATGTGATGCTAGCTTTTGCAATTAATCCAGTAATAAATGGAAAACTGCTCATCTGGCCTAAGGAAGCAAAGATCACTCCGCTGGGAACTGTGAGATATAGAAACCGAGCTCTGGCTACCGCAGCCTGAGCAAAGTGTTGACCTTGGTAGACTGCTGCAGAGACTGTACACTTGAATCTGTTCCCCTTTAGCTTAATTTTGAGAAAGGCCTGAGTTGGCTGAGATATAGCTTGGTAATTCATCTTCTCTCTCTCTTTTTTTTTTTTTCCTTTTTTCTTCCTTCCTTTCATAAGAAATATTTGTTCTATAAAGCAGCCATGTCAGTGCTTTGCTCTTAGTCATTATTCTGCTCTCAGGTGCAAAAGAGTAATAATAATAATAATAATAAAAAAAAACAGAACAGTGAGATATTCAAGGACATGGCACCCACACAGAAAACGAATGTGTTTTGCAAACTTCTCCTTTGGGTAGCAGTGTGCTCATTGCTGGCTTGAGGGGGTGGTATTTGAACAGCTATGCAGTGGAAACCTCCACTAAAGACAGCTACACCTGCTTTCTTTCTGAGAAGGGACCTTCACGTGGATGGTAACTTGCCTTTTTGGATATTGAAATTATGTAATAGATATTCCTGACATTAATTCCTTTGTGGCACTGTACAAAACCTACCATGGGAATGAAGAGCTCCAATCATGAGAAATGGGTGAGAACAAGCTACTGTAGGCTACACTGGTGATCGTGCTGTTCTGAAGCATATTAACATATGTGATCGATTTTACCCCCTCCTGAGCATCTACCACTGACATAAATCAGGAAATTTATCCTTGTCTAAATCAGGGAGAGGATCAGCATGAAAAGTTGCCATCTTGTAGCATAGCTATAAAATGTGCGGCGTGGCAAAATGTGAAACAGGCAGCCAAGTCAACCATATGCTACATGAGCCGTTAGACAGTCACTAGTCGGTGAGGTTGGAGCTGGCTTGAGTATAACCAGTGCGCTGCTGAAGCTTGGGCCCAGATGTGCGTGTGGGAGCTTGCACTCCTCTGCAGTTCTCTGCCAGACAAGAAAGTGCTTGTGCTACTGTAGTACAGTGAAGAATGCCACTTCATGTTCCTCTTTTGGTTTTCTCTTTGTTTCTTGTTGTTGTACAGGTTGGAGAAATAAAAGCCCACGCAGCTGAGTGGAAAGCGAATGTAACAGCTGAGTTCAGAGAGACACGGAGGCGACTCAGCGTGGAGATCCATGACAAACTTCAGCGGGCAGCTACCATCCGCAGCATGGAGCGCAGGCGCCTGGGCCTGGACCAGAGGGCCCACTCCCTGGACATGCTCTCTCCAGAGAAGCGCTCTGTGTTTACTGCCTTGGAAACGGGGCGCTTCAAGGCCTCATCTCAGGAAAGCATCAACAACAGGCCTAACAACCTGCGCCTTAAAGGGTCAGATCAACTCAACAAGCATGGGCAGGGGGCATCCGAGGACAATATCATTAACAAGTTCGGATCGTCGGCCAAGATGACCAAAAGGAAAAACAAAGATCTTAAAAAGACCATCCCTGAGGATGTGCGTAAAATTTATGAGACCTTCCGAAACTACTCCTTGGATGAAGAAAAAAAGGAAGAAGAGACAGAGAAGATGTGTAATTCTGAGAACTCTTCTAGCACCACAGTCCTAACCAACTGCATTCAGCAGCACTCGGACCTGGAGAACGGAATGATCCCCACAGAAACCAAAGAAAGGGAACATGAAAACAAAGCATTACTTGAAGACAGAAATTAAATGTAAGAGATGCTTGACTTGAATAAACAATGCTAATGTTTTTATATACATATATATATTGAGACACGTGCCTTATACAGACTCCTTATTCAGTCTGAATTATATAGCATCGAAGAATATTTCACTGTGCCATAAAGACTCAAGCTTGCTCTGCCAAAACAAATCAGGAACACAGCATTGCAGAATGGCAAAAGAAAGCTACGCACATGGAAATTTCAGCCTGTATAAGATTACCAGGGTAAGACACAAAGGAAGAGCCTGAACAACGGCAGTACCACCAGAATGCTGCTACCATGGCATGACATTAGACAAAGGGCAGCTATGTAAGAAGAACCTTTCAGAAGAATGGAAAAGATCATGTCTTTTAAATGAAGTATGTACATTAAGCCTTCCCCTGGTGATTATAAAGAGGAGAAATGTTTGGAGTTAACTAGAAACTTTCAGTAAGGATTAGTTTACGTTTTGGCACGTGATCCAAGCTAGATTTTTTTTCTTTTCATTTTTGAATCTGATGCATTATCTTTCTAAACTCCAAAAGAATGTCTGTGGACACAGCCACCAGCTAAATGCTGGTCTGAAAAAACAACACAGATGTATTTAAGGGTCGGATTGCTCTTTCCATTAAAAAAAAAAAAAGAAACTCTGTGGGTATTTATCATAACCAGTTACAAAATAAATTTTAAAAAATGGATTTTTTTCTCTCGTAGGAAATATTCAGTGTAAAGTCAATGGAAGAAAGTACATATGAAGAAAATGCAACATTTCATGATGTGTTGTTTAAAAGAAGAGAAACATTAATTTAATAATATTTGGATAAGTGTATTAAACAGTGGGCCAACTGTTTTTTAAAAAAACGATTTCTGATTCATACTTTCTACCACTGAAGAAAGAAGACAGAAGAAAAGCTATAGCTTTTGCATGTCAGCAAACTGCTGTTCTCTGTAGCTCAATCTAAGTTTTTAAAAAGAGACATAAGAGCATATAACCAAATGAGGGTCAGGGCAACCATATGATCTCAGGGCTCTATGCCCCTTTTGCTGGATTTGGTTAAATGTGAGCTGCAGTCATTATCTCAAAATGAAAAATGAAATTTAGGAAAAAGAAGTTAAGAAAAATATGGTGGTAATCTTTTAAGTGCTTATAGCTTTAAGTGCCATTAATGCTGTCATATTTTGTAACTTTTTAAACAAGTATTTTTAATTATTTGTTTTATTTTATTTCAGGTACTACCTTTCTTTTTGACATTTGCTATCTCTTTCCTTGACAAAATCTAAACATGAGCTTTGTGCATTTCAAGACTAAAGTGAAACGTAGCCAAACTGCGGGCTTTTTAAAAAAAGAAATCTTTTGTGGTGTATGGACATAGGACTATAAGAAACATTTATATCCCTAGACTTCACAGAAAATATTCAAAGAAAAGGCTGTGAAATAATGGGAACTGCAAGCAACATTAAGTTTTGGTGCCCTCAGTCCATAAGCTACTGCATTTGCTGTTGCAGATAGAAGATTTTGCATGCTGGAAACATGATTGCACCAGTGATGCTTTCCCTGCACCCTCAGAAAATCCTAAACAGCTCTGCAATTCAAACTGTAGGCTTGCAAGTAAAGTAAGCATATACACAGATGGCAGAGATATTCTGAGTCTGACAAGACAGTCGAACATCCACACACTCACAGGTCATACAGACACAGACTTTGGGATTGCATGCCCACACGTGCATACACAGAAATGCACGTTTCATTTCCTGAATTTTCTGAGATTTCTTATGCAACGAGCCAACTCAAAATCTATCTGGTCACTGGAATACATGATTTCCATGGCCATGAATACATGCATGGTGATGCACACACAAAGTTTATATATGCATATTTGCGTAACTACTTGCCTCTGAACAGTTTGGAGGAGTGAGTAGAGGACAAAAGCAGCTCTTAGTATGTTCTGCCTGTGCATTCACTTCACTTGAAATATCCCATCGTCCTTATAATTTAATTATCCAAATACACTGTCTGAAAACTAAGGAGGAAAAAACAATGTTTGAAAAATTTCAGGTCATTTGGGATTACTTTAATTCAATAAGCTCCAACAGAAATTGAATTCTACTTAGGTTGGCAATGAGCCTCCTTAGAGGGCTAAATCCTCGCCTTAGTTTAGCTTAGGTTGGCAATGAGCCTCCTAAGATAGAGGGCTAAATCCTCGCCTTAGTTTACTGGGGCAGGACAGCGAGCCTGATGCCCAGGAAACATTTCGGCTGCCTCTGCTCCTGGAGGCCTCCATGCAGTGCAGAGCTGTGCTCCGCATCACGATCACACAGGTGGTGGCTTGTGGGATCCTCAGACCTTGTCCTCCTCAGCCTGCAGGGAAATGGCAGCAGGAGGCAGGTGTGTTCAAGAACAGAAGCGCTGTAGCCCTCCCCTTGTTCCTGTTTTGGTGTAGCTCTGGGATCAAGCATGGCCTCCTGGGCCACATGTGAGCAAATCTTTAAAGTCTCACCCACAAAAGCTGCATCATACTGAGCTGACTGTAGGCCCAGGATGGATGAAGTACACTTAGATTTAGTACGGTGTTATGTTGTTCAGATCTGTGGCCTGTTAGAAAGTTAGGAAGTATTGCTACAATTTAGATTTGCACTTGAATTCTAGACTAGGTTCAGAAATACTCAGACTTGAGATTTGGGTTTTGGGAATTAAAGTACTACCTGTTTACGCGGTATTGTACCTTTGGTTGTATGAAAGATCAGGGCACAGAAAAGCAACTTAATTTGGATCTGAAAGCAGGCAGTATATATAGATTGTGGTAATAGCTTTTCTTGGTTACTAAGCACCCAAAACAAGTCATGTATTTCTATTTGCTCTTTGTGTGAGCACTTCTCACAAGAAATGCTTGTCTATACTGGAAAAGTCCTGCACAGGTACACACAATAGTAAGGATAAATAAGGCGAATTTTCTGTATGTGAAAAGTAAGGATTTGTCATAGTCAGTGCATTCCTGCTGTTTAGGGTCAGGAAAAGCACAAGTTATCGTCCTGTGGGACTGTGCTCTTGTCTGCATGATGGGAGTTGGATGGTCTTGGGCAAATCATGGAAGCTCATCAACGTGGGCACTGGCTGAGGAGGCAATGTTTGGTGGCCTAACTCAGAAGTGATCTCTCTGATGGGATGGGTGAACAATGTAATCTCAGTGTATTTTGTATCTCAGATTTTCTAGCTGATGGTGTCTGGGTGCCACTTTGGTTGCCACCAGGCCACACCATGTGGTTAGAATTATTTGGCCAACTTTCTATCAGGGTGGGTCTTCAGCAGCTGTGTCAGGATATGATTGTTTCAGGGGCAAAGGGTGATGCAGCATAAACTCCCAGTGAGATGCTGAATGGAACATTCAATGACCTTTGCCATGAAAGCAAAATGTGCTCTTTCATTCTCCCCACCATTTCTGTGTCTGTGAAACCTGCTGAGAAAGCTGCCAGTCTGGTATCTGAGTACATGTCTTTTTCCCGTATGATTGCCTATTAAATACCTCAATATACATTCTTTTTTATTATTATTATTATATGGAAAGTGCAAATGATGCATTGCACAGGAGGCCAGCCAGGAAAGTCTGAAAACTGACCCTGTCTCTTGGTTTTAGTTGTATGTAGCAGCCCGGGAGAGAATCGCTGTTCAAGCTTCAAGTGTGGCTGAAGTCCGCATCTTTTAGGATTACTTGTAAAATACTTGTGACGTTATTTCTAGTGAGGCTGTTCCACCATTACTGTAAGATTTAGCAAAAGCTGGTCTGAATTGTATCCAAAACTGCTCATTCTCAATTACACCCTTTCACAGCAGCCTGAAAATAAAGCCAAACAAAAGGGGAACTTACTGACTTTAATGCTCAGAGCCTGCACTGAGCACAACACAGCTTGAGTGGGAATTGGGACCTGGAGGAAGAAAGGAGACTTGCCTTTTCTGTAGCTGCAGCCCTCACTTCTAAGGGATAACTCAGCTGCTTTTTTTTCCTGCAGATTTCAGCACTGCGGTCCCACTTGCCCCTGTGCCTGGCGCAGGAGAGCGCTCTGGCATAACTGCTGCTGAGCTTGTGCTGATGTCGCATGAGTGTTTTTGGAAAGGTCTGTGGCTTCATCCATGTGAGAGTCTGTGAATTTCATTTATCCTTTAACAGGGAGAATTATTTCTAATAAATGTGTTATTAGAAATAATAGGAAATAAAAAGCAGTGATTTGTATTTATGAAAAATCCCATTTTGGTTGTTGTGAAATGATAAATCACCCGAGCTTTTGCAGTCTGGCTTTATGATGTCTCTAGCACTTCTGCGAGTCTGCTTCTCCCCAAGGCCTTTGGTGGGCTATGCCACAGATTTTCTAAAAAAAAAAAAAAATTCTCTGTAACCCAAGATACATGCAACTGCGAGTATGTCTGTGAGTTCAGGATGTTAAAAATTCTGTCTTCAAGAAACCTGAATTTTTCTGAAGAATTTGTGCTTATGCTGTATTTGTTTGCCAGCTTTGGTTTCTCAGGGGTTTGTTTGTGTTGTCAGGTAGCATGATGTCTGATAGTCTCACTTTTCCCCTCATCCACTAAAAATAAAGAAGAGTCAAAGACCAGGATTTATGGTATGTTGTATATTAATCTAAAAGAAGGAGTCTACTAATAAGCAGATAGGAATTTAGAAGGTGATGGAGAACTGCTTCAGTCCTTCCTATACATCCGCTTATTCTGAGTTGTGCTATGTCTGATGTAAGGTCCAGTCTACTTCCATCAAAGTAGTGCAGTAAAGTGGAGCCAGATGGTTATTTCTGAGCCTTTTTAGAGAGAAGACCTGCTATTTTAACTCATTTTTAAGTGAATAGCACATTCACACTTACAGATGTGGCATTATATCAATACTGAGTACAAATAATTCCAGCTTCAAACCCAGCTCCCTAGCCAATAAAATGTCAATGCAGACACAAATGCAAATCAACATAAATCTGTGAAACTTAAGTATAATCTTGTAGATTAATATATGAAACTTGTTGCCTGAAATATATCACCACATAAATGCAGATTTGAACATTTATTTAGATACCTAATTCTTCCTGAGGTACCCGTCTCCTTTGCTATCAGCAGTAGTTATCTTCCTTAACGCCATTCCTGATCTGGACCATGCTATTTTTTTTAATTTCCAATGCAACTGAAGTACATAACCATGTTAGACTGTTGACTTGTGCAGTTGGAATCAAACATACACAAGAAGCAGCTGCAAAAGCTAATTTGGAATTAGCTGAATGTTGTCAAGGCTTTCTGTGTGAGCTGCATGACGCTGGGTTGAGCAGGTCACCCTAAAGGTCCTCAGGGCTGGTGGGTCCTCACAAATTGGCTGTATAAAAGGCCCTGTGTGGGCACATGCCGGCGCCTGCCCTTCGCACCGCGCACGTCGTCGCTTCTTGCACGCGCATCTAATGGCAATGTCCCTCACTCCATGTTTCCATGTTCCTTCCCGTCTGGATCCAAGTCACGCCTCAGCCTGCTGTTATCCCTG